AAGAAGACTTGTGGTAGGAATGTGCCCGATTATTCCTCATTATGGACACACAAGTGACCATTTTTGAAGTTGCACATCTTCAGTGCGGGTGGTGAGCAAGAGTAAGGACAGCTGACGGGTACCCCACCCAAATCTAAGGTGGTGAGATCATGCAGTACAGCGGCGAAGCATTTAATAAGTAATTGCTCAAGTTATGCTGCAAGAGATTCCGGAATGATTACATTGCTCTGGATGGTATCTGCTGGGGTCGCCGGAGTTTACGAGGATTCTCGACTTCATATCCGGAATGAGATACATGCGAAGGTCTCGAAACGAGCAAAACATGGAAATCGAAATTCTAAGTGGATGGTGCCTTTAAGCATCCAAAAGAAATTTCGGTGCGTGGCTGACGCCATGCGCCTCCATCCGAAGAAAATTTCGCTCACTCCCCTCCTCCTGCCGCCAAACGCATCGCCACTGCTAGATAGAGGTAGAGGCAACGAATCCGAAGCTGAAGAGGTGCATCTTGTGTCGAAGTACAGATTGTCAGATTCTCTGACTTGTGTGTACACATGTGGATGAGCACGCCCCAGAGAAATGGCATCGTTTTTCTGATTCGGTCACAATCTCAGCAGTTAGAACAAAACTACGGATTGACTGGAGTACAACGTGTTAAAACTATATCTCCATGCTGTATCTTGTCTTATTCTCAGGTTGAACTTGAAGCAAGTTTGGGGTCGGTGCCATTCAGAGTAATTCTGTTCTCGGTGATGTAGCGACACCTTAGTGTCCTGTTAAAGGCAGTGTCCGGGCAAAATCTCGATCTTGAGATTTTTTGCTTACCCGGGCCTACTCGCTACGCTGAATCCGAAAATGCGCATTGGAGAGCGCAAAAACGGCGAAAAACGGCTCTAATATAGGAGGAAAATCAGCAGGTGGGCGGGGCTTTCCCCCAGTGCGAATTCACGCTCCCAACTCCCGGAGCGATTTTCTCGATTCCGCTAGCCGTTCTAACATCGCTATCGGCCAAGTGCGAATGACTGACTTGAAACCGGAAGCGAGAAGGTCGCTCCGGAAGCCGGGAACGTGAATTCGCAGTGGAGAGGACCCCGCCCACCTGCTTCCCTCCTGTGTTAGAGTCGTTTTTCGCCATTTTCGCGCTCTACAATGTGCATTTTCGGATTCAGCGTAGCGAATAGGCCACAGTAAGCACAAAATCTCAAAATCGAGTTTTTGCCCGAACACTGCCTTTAATCCCGTGCAAACCATGTCCCTTGAGTTGCTGTGTGTGAGTGTATAGCATAAAGTGACTCTTGTGACGAAACATATTGCAACAACCGACAAACGTGGCCATCGTCGGTAAATTGATAGAGATTGGAATTGTCTTTTTCTTAAAAGCTTGCCAAAGTCGGTCATTTGCAGGGCCTCCTTCACTTTCCATGATATGTCGTCCTCGATAGTTCCGCACTATGACTTGTTTTCTCGAAGTCTAGCATAGCAAATGAACCAAATGCGCAGCACCAACTGCACAAACTGCTGTGACTACTACTGCAGTGTCTGGGAGCACTGGGATGTCCATTCAAATCCGAACAAACTTTGCATCTTATCATGTCGAAAATACTCCTTGGTTGTGGCACGTAATGATTTACTGCGCTGCCTGAATCGTAGTGCGACATTGAATACGATGTTTTGTTGTTATCGCAGCTCAATTCGATAGCAACCAAGGATCCGACTCCGGTTGATGCACCAATTTGGTGTCACCTAGTGTGGCGAAAGGCGCACTAGGTGACACCAAATTTCATAGGCGATGGTTTCATAGGCGATGCGGAAAAACGGAGTGATCAGCTTGCTGACATGAAATTTAACAACCTGGCAAGCTGCTTTTCAACAGAAAGCTGGCTTCGAATTTTCTAATACACTTATGCCAATTAATCTGTGGAACACGACAATATGTCATAGTCGTAATCTGTGAGAAAAAATTATCTTTACTTTGATAATATCTCTTCAAATGTAGAACGCAATCATGCTACGTACTTCCACAATAAGTGGACGAAGCTCAACTCTCTGTTTTATGGAATCTGGATTCCGTGTGCAAACATGACTGTGGGGTACAATTAATTGTATGTACTTTCCGCACGCACATTCCTGTCTCTCTAAGAGAAAAAAATGCATGGTAACACATGCACTGGAACACATATTCTTCTCGCGTATAGGCTTTTCGCAGAAGATCATGGAAGATCATTCTCGCGCCGTATGCGCGACTATTCCCGCATGAATATCCTCCGGATTTCGCAGCGGCAAGCCCGCTAACATTAGCTGGCCATCGTCACCTCAGTAATGAAGGAGAGTTGGAGAAGAAGAATTTAACAGGAGATGTGGAACCCTCATAGATACATAGGAGAGTGATGCTTAACCTCTCTTAGTGAAACAGAGGTGAGATTCATCTCTAGAACAATTTCCTCAACGCCAACCTGGTTTCAAACGGTTCGTGTTTGTTTTCTCTTTTTTTCTTTTTGATTTCTAGCTTCAATCCCTTACGGTACATGTAAAGACGCCAGCGAAAAGTCGATAGATTTCTAATATGGATCAAAGACTTCAAATTTTAGCGCAGTCAAAAGGGGAGCTTCAGATTCGGAAACGCAATCGGAAACAAATTCGTGCCGGAAACGATCGCGCTCAAATTTTGACCACAAGATTTTTCCGCTGCTAGAGTCTGCGGGGTGAGGAAGTGAAGGAGGAGAGGAGGAAGGGAGATGCATGTTTTCATGCCATAAGTGACATTGCGGTAAATCTGTTTCGATGATCTAGCCCATAAACTTGTTGCTGTCGCGGTGCGGCTTAGTTGAGAGAAAAATCGTGACCACTGACCCGTTCGGGACGAGTAGCGTACAAGGCCTGGCTCGAGTCGGTTTCTAGGGTTTCTGAAAACGAAGTCTCCCCTGACTTTCGGAAGTTTCACGAAGTCCCCTTTGTCCTATTTGTGTACTAGTATTAAAAAGAAAAACGTAAGATAAGACTGGAAATCCAAATTGGAGTGAATACCACGCATGCACAAGAGTTTAGCATTGGAGCGCGATATTTTACAAAGCGATATATGAAGAAATGAAGGCAAAAAACGATAGAGCATGTCAATTGTGTGATAACCTGTCCGAAAAGCTTGTGTTCGAGCAAATGGCGCTTATTCTCGGTGCTGGGCCCCGACTCGTCAAAAACGATATCTCCTTTGCTTTTTGCTTCAAAAACGAAGTTCAGCTTGCTTCCAGACGATCTATGCCGGGCCCTGGTAGCGTAGTGGTATGAGGCGCACAACCAGAT